AAAAAAAAAAAAAAAAGATAACCATTGTCCCAACTAATAACCTGAGATGGATTTTTACCTGTTGTTGTGCTGTGTATACTTGGAATCATGCTAGTCATACTGGTTTGTGCTGGCTTCCTTCTTGCAACATTATGTTGAAGAAGCGAGTCTGCATTTGTTGCAGATCACTTGTTCTCACTGGTGAACAGTATTGCACTAAGTGAATGTACCACAATTGTTTTTTTCTACTTCCCTTGGGTATTTGGATAGTTTCTAGTTTGGAGCCATCATAATACCGCTGCTGTGAACATTCTTGTGCCTCATCTTTTGGAGCCATATGGGCTTATTCCTTTTTAACAATGTTACTGCTGATAATTTGAAAACAGGTAAAACCAAACAACCACCATGAGGAAGTTGCAGAGCTTATAGGAGTTGTCAGCCCACTACTTTTCAAACTGGGTTGCGCCTCTTTATTGGGTTATAAAATAGGGGTTTAGGATCAGCATTTTAAGGGCATCAACACAATAGACAGTATCAGAAGACATTGCACGTGGTAAAGATAAGCCTCGTTTCGTAGACTTTTGTTTCAGTTATACATATGGATAAGTATGGAACGTGAAGGATGTACTTGCGTATGTATAAGATGTATTTCTTACTTTGCCTCATGGCATCATGATAGAGTTTGAAGGCCGCTGTCTTGGCCTGTGAGTCTTTTGGTTGTTGTTGTTTCCGAATTTTTATTTTTATTTAACAAATAAATAAATTCTAGTTAACATGTATAGTGTAATAATTGGTTTCAGGAGTAGAATTTAATGATTTGTCACTTACATGTAACACCCAGTGCTCATCCCAACAAATGCCCTCCTTAATGTTCGTCATCCATTCAGCCCCTCCCCTGCCTACCTTCTTCCATCAACCCTCAGTTCTCTGTCTTTAAGAGTGTCTTATGGTTTGCTTCCCTGGCTGTCTTTTTTTTCCCCTTCCCATTTGTTCATCTGTTTTTTTTTTTTTCTTAAATTCTACACATGAGTGAAATCATATGGGATTTGTATTTGTCTTTCTCTGACTAATTTCGCTTAGCATAATACACTCTAGCTCCATCCACGTTGTTGCAAATGGCAAGATTTCATTCTTTTTGATGGCTGAGTAATATTCCATTGTAGATATACATATATACATACTACATCTTTTTTTTTTTTTTTTTTTTTTTAAGAGAGTGAGAAAGAGAAAGTCCCAAGCAGACCCCATGCTCAGCATGGAGCCTGACATGGGGATTGATCCCACAACCCTGGGATCATGACCTTAATTAAGCCAAAATCAAGAGTCGGGTGCTCAACTGACGGAGCCATCCAGGCGCCCCTATACCACATCTTCTTTATCCATTCATCAGTTGATGGACCTTTAGGCTCTTTTCAGTTTGGCTGTTGTTGATAGTGCTGCTATAAATATATATCAAGGTACATATACCCCTTCAAATCTGTATTTTTGTATCCTTTGGGTAAACACCTAGTAGTGCAATTGCTGGGTCATAGAGTAGTTCTATTTTTAACTTTTTGAGGAACCTCCATGCTATTTTCCAACTGGCCCATGATTCTTAACTCTCTCTGGACTGGAAGCAGGAGACTTTGTGTGGGTTTTTGCCTTCAGCGTCTGTCATGCAGGCATTCGGAATTACTCCTCTTCCAGTTGATGGAATCATGCTAGAATAATTGGCACCTCTGAATCAAATGGACAGTTTCATTTCTGAGGACCTCTAGACTGCTGGACAGTTCTACTCACGACATGTGCCAGGACCCAGAGTGATCCTCCCCGCCCCCCCCCACCCAGAAGCAGAGTTGTTGCCAAATGACCTTTAAAAACAAGTTGGCACTGACACAAAATATTGCCCAAAGATGGGTTTTGTTTGGTCTATACAGTGTTTTGTTTTCAGTTACTTGCTTTTAGCTACAAATCGGTGGATTTCACATAAAAATCCGCATTTCAGACCATTTTTGAGCCCTGGAAATCCCCAGTCTGAATATCACAGGGCAGCATTCCTCTGAAGCCCTTTAGGTGACTGGCGTGCATAGTCTCCAGTTCACCAAAGTCCCCGCCACCCTTGGTTCACTTCTGTCACCTGCCCACACTCCTGGAGGCGGTTGCCTCTGTCACTTCTGCCCTACAAAATGTGGGGTGGAGGTACACTGGAGACGAAAGAATTGCTGCCCCTGTACCCTCCTTAACCAAAGAGAAGCCTGAGGGTGGCCATTTTTATTTGGTGCCTATCAGGAGTCAGACCCTCAGGGCATTATATGCCCCCCCCCCCCATTTTATCTTTCCTAAAATGCCTGACATTTTCTTAATTCTTAATTACAAAGAAACTTGCAGTGACAAACAATAGTGAATATAAGGCGGTCACTATTGCCTCTCATGAAAAGTTTCTTTATACTGTTTGATTCGTTACCATGTGTACATACTAGAATATCATAGATGTTATGTAATGACCTTGAAGGATATTCATAATATATTATTATTACATGAGAAAAGCAGGTTGCAGGTAATGGATAGAATACAATCCCATTTTTAGGAAAGATTTGGTCTTCTTTTAGAGCAGGGGGCCAGAAACCTTTTTTTTTTGGGG